TCACAGTTTTTGGTTCACAGTTATTGGTTCACAGTGAGGGGTTCACAGTTTTTGGTTCACAGTTATTGGTTCACAGTGAGGGGTTCACAGTTATTGGTTCACAGTTAGCGGTTTACAGTGAATGGTTGATCGTGTTCTGAGGTTCGGGCCTTAATATGTTAGAGTTTCTGCTCTAGACATCTTTAGATTTTTGTTTTCTGTGATCTGAGTTTTTTAGGTTTAATTGGATCAAACTGAAGCTAATATCCTTGTGAACCTTCATTAGGAGGTTCCTGCTTTCCGCTTCTGAAGGAAACTGATGTTTGGTTCTGTGTTTGTCTCAAAGTGAAAGCAGCGGAGATATCCTGAACAACAATTGCGTGATGGAGTACCACCAGGCCACAGGGACCCTCAGTGCCAACTTCAGGAACATGGTAACTGTTCCGACCAGGCGAGGACTGGCCGCTGCTTCAGTTCCTCCTGTAGTTCCCGATGACTCTAAGCTTGCAGCAATTTCATGTTCCTTCTTTTTCAGTCCCTGAAGCGAATTAAACGTTCTGATCGCCGCGGTGCCGAGTCCGTGACAGAGGAGAAGTTTACCATCCTGTTCGAGTCCCAGTTCAGCATCGGAGGAAACGAGCTGGTTTTTCACGTCAAGGTTATTAAGCTTGAAGGTTTCCGTCATTTCCAGAACTGGGTCAATCATGATTTTCAGCTTCATGCTCCATCTGTGGCCTGCAGACGCTGTCTCTACCTGTGGTGGTGATCGTCCACGGCAGTCAGGACAACAACGCCACAGCAACCGTCCTGTGGGACAACGCCTTTGCTGAGCCGGTAAGATATGTGCAGGTTCTAGATGGTACCAGTCCATCTGGGCTGTCAGTAGATGTTTAATTTTATGATCACATTTCATCATAATGAGTATTTAGAGTCACACTGTAAAAACGGATCAAACTAAACTGGAAATCTTCTTAAAATGAGATCATTAGTTGATAATGTGCCCTTAGAATTATATAATAGGTTTTTTCTTTTCTTATTTTAAATAAATCCTCTAAATCCATCTGCAAATTGTTTCACCTTCTTTAATCAAGGAATAATCTCACTCCAAGACACAGAGCCAGGAGCAGTTCTACAGGGACACTGGCCCCTGGTGGTCCCTGTCTATTTATATATATATATATATTTATATAAATATAGATAGTGAAAAGTA